TTTAAAAATAAAAAGTGTTCCTCATTAAAAGGCACAACAGAGTAAAAACTATATATGAAACATTGAGGTTATAGTGTAGTGACATGTATCCATCATTTGAGCAAGTAATCAAAAGATAACCCCCCTCCCAATACATATACAGTATATATACATTATGTATATATAGTGTATATATACAACCACACAAACCTTACACACAACCATACATGCCGTCAGCCATTCACCAATACAAATAATGACCAAGTAACTGTCCAAGGTGAACTTCAGGATACATAGGATCACTTCAGCAAACCTTTCTCCATGGGTCTTTCAGAACAGAGATTTCATTTCCTGTCTTCCAGTTTAACAACCTCTCGCTGTTTTTGCATACTACGAACAAATTACTTGGAACATTTACAAATTACCGCTGTCACAGACAACCAACTAAGAACTGGTGGCTCTTGTAAAACACTACAAAAGTACAACTTTTGGTGTTTTTCCTTTCATGCAACATGAAACAAACAGGCCATTTGTAGCACCGCAGCTATCATCCTTCTGGGTTTCTTCTGAGGTGTGTGCCACTAGACTAGATTAGGTATTGACAGCCTTGGTAGGTGGCTGAATACCTTTGCTTATTCTCCTGGTGCATGCTTTTGCATCATATGTTACTTCACATATGAATTTATTTTCCCGGTGTCCTTAATTGTAGCCAGCTTACCAGATAAGCAGCATCAAATTAAGACCCAAGAAAAAAATCCAAAAGAAATTCACATGATAAATGACAATCACAAGTCAATCCCTTCTATTCTTTTTTAGAAACCCTACACAAGAAGACACTTTTCAAAGATTCCTTTTGACAATGATGGCATACTTATAATAGGTGCTACATAGCACAAGATCAAATCTGCTTCAAATGCTGCAGTCTTCACTTAAACTTGAAAAAAATGAAGAGCAACTGAAACAGGTACCACTCAATGTAATCAACCAATAACCAAATTTTATATAAAACATTATTTCTTGCTCAACTAGACAATCACTAGCCCATAAGCAAAGAACTTACAAGCAGGTGTTCAGTTTTGGACATTACACCTAAACCTTCTAGTAGAAAAGTGTCTTAACAAGTTCCAACCTAGAATTTATCATGCCAATATTTACAAATCAAGATAACCTTAATATTACAAAAAAGTATGGACACAGAAGGTGCACACACAGTAACAGAAGTAAACCACATGTTGTTAATATCAACTAATATTCAAGTGACCAAGAGATTACTCCATGTCATTCTATACGCTTCATTCTATAAGAACTGTAACTGAACAGGCTTAGGATCCCCCTCTAACAGATATAGTCTATAAAACAGAGTATGGTAAGGTATGTCACATTAACACAAAGGATAACAAGTTGTTGTGTTAGATCAGAAGCAACTGACCGATACGCTCTGCAGCTAAACATGATAATACTGATGTACCATGCATAGTAATAAGTGTACAAAACTATGTACCATGCATAATCTGCAGGGAACAAGTGTAAAGAATAAAAAAAGAAAAAAAGGAAAAAAAAAATCTTTGTGTATAAGACTATTATAGCTGGTCTTACCATAAGCACATGAAATTACCCAATGAAATGTCTTATTCACAAATACTCCAAAGCACGATTTCAATTCCGTAAGGCAAAAACTTGGTATTGTATTATCAGTGAAAGTTTACAAGATGCCAGACTTTAAAGTAATTTAAAACAAATATGATTTCAAAGACACTACTATCTAAAACACACTTTAGTCAATGCTTTTCTCCAAACACTGTATTTACTGAATGAATCTTTTTTTTTCTCTCACCAGTCTTCCAAGTGTCCTGAAATTGGGACAGAATATCTATGCAATGCAGCTTACAAACTGAAAGTCAAAGCAATGAAGCATTAATGCCTTGGATGATTTGCCAAACACGATGTTGCTCAAGAGCCTAAAGAGGAGCCCTACCTCCATTGGTTCCCAAAAAACTGCAAATTACAAAGAGCATGTAGGATGTATCTGGGTAAAAATGAAACACCTATACATTACGTTCTTATAAAAAAATATTAATAATAATAATATAATAAAAGATAACTGTAAAATAAAACAGAAACAAAAAACAACACAATGAAAGGATTTTCAGATCCTTGCAATAGTTTTCCCCAGGCACATTTGAATGAGACACTACAATACTGCCACACATACTTCAAAAGTATAAATGTACTACATGTAAGGACGAGACAGATCAGCATTATTTACCAAGCTTTCCATTGATCCTTTTGCTTCATTGATATGTCCTTTTCATGAAAAATATATGATTCACCGTAAAATACCTTTCCAATATAAAAAAATATGGTGGACAATACTAATCACAATGAATGCTTCATAAGTCAGGAGCAAAACAAATAAAACTTCTCAGGGATCCATATACTCAAAATTAATCAATCACTGCTGGTTCTCATACAATATTCTCAAAGAACAACAATATAGGAATAAAAAAAATAATAAAAATAAATAAATGAATCAAAAAAAAAAAGTATTTAACATGGTGTCATTACAATCAACTCCCCCCTAAAAAAAGTATCTAAAGAGTACACAATACAGCCATCTCCTCATCCAGCCATCCTTGCCTAGGACAGACAGACTACGCTACGAGCCTCTCTGTTACCTCGCTGGATATCAGCTCGGGCACTGAATAAGACGAGGGGAGAGCGAGGAGGGAAGAACCTTCGACCCATTAAGCACAAATGAGCCCTCTTAATCTTCTCTTATCACAATACCTGGGAGCTCATGTTAACATGTCAAAATATCATTCTCTACGACATATTCCATCTAACATGACAGACTCCCGTGTGCACCTGACATCTCCCAAATGCTTTCACGACCAAACAACAAACTCAGATATATATATATAAATATTCACATTTTCAACTTAGTGTACTGCACAAAAAACAATAAAGTTGTGTTTGGTCTCTGTTTTTTTTCACTACCCCTAAATGCACCTAATAAAAAGGAAAAAAAATAACAAAAATAACAATAACGATAACAATAATAGTAATGAATATCATTATTATCATTATCATCATTAATAACTAATAATAATAAAAAAATATCTAACAATTCTATTGCAGAATTAAGACTTTAATAAACAAAATCTTTTCATTAAGTTCACAGTGTGTGGTACACGGGCTGTGCCTGAGTGTGGGAGAATCATGGGTGTTATCTAGTTGCTGTTGTGATCGTAGGGGGATGCATTACACGCAGAGTGTCTTGACCTGAAACACTGCCTCCCACGCCATTTCGGCCCGAAGCCATTGACACAGAAAGACCATTTCGCACCCGTGTTAGGTGATCTTCTATTAAACTGGTTATTTCATCTTTGTCAATCTGGAAAAAGATAAGACATTGTTAAAATCTAGTCCAACGTAAACAGAATACCTACAACAGAGAAACATAAACCATGTAAAACAAACCTTTGCACATTCCTTATTTGCTATGAAGAAATGCTATGCAGCAAGTCTTCAGATATTTCCTTTTAATTCTCCATATAAAATAAAGGCTGATGGAAAACCTATCTAATAAGAAGAGCAAAGACCTTTAATAAAGTTTATATGGCCTAATGTAACTGAATACTCCTTTCTCTTTGCATATGTAATAATATGATATAAACAACTTTCCTGCTCATAACATTAGACAATCTATGCTCCATCACTCTATACTACATCATTGCCTCAAGCTCCTGGTTACCAAACCATAGATTATGTATGGCCTTTGTGATGTAATGCTTCTTCAAGGTAAGACATGAAGAGTGCAAGTGTTATAGTTAGCATTAGTATAATTGTGTATATGCCCATATGAGCTGCCAGATATTCACGCACTGTTTTCCTATCTCTTCTTTTATGTGAATGGTATGCAGTAAATGTAAACCAATACATCTGGTATTGTCTGACATATTTTGTGAGATCCTCCTTACTTTATTGTTTTCTATAATTTATACCTAAAACTTTAATTCATATTATTATATTTGTGTTTTATTTCCATACTGAATTATTTCACAAACACTACCAATTTTCACGCATACACAAGCAGTAACTTGTTTTAACTCTTTGACACTTCCCTATGCAGGAGGTACTTGACTAGGGTAAGAGGCAGGGCAGAGGTAATGCAGTTCTAAGAATTGAATGGTTTATAAAGAAAGTAGGAAACATTTCAATGCTTTGGCAACAAAAAAATCTATGTAAAAAAAAAAGGATCTCTGTACAAGACCTTTCCTTTACTTACTTGGCTAATAAAACCGTATCTGACAAGTTCGTCAGTTAGTGCCGCAGCTCCTTCCCCGTCTTCTACCACACAAGAGAGCTGCCGATTCATCTTGTCTTCTAAACGTAATGAGATGGTCATCTAGAAAATAAAAAGGGTGGTTAATACCTAGGACGAGAAACCAATCAATAAATAATGGTTTCTCTACTGAAATCACCATGAAACTTGACCTGAGAAACTATTCTGCACAGAGAGAATCAAATTAAAAAGCAGGTCATTAGTTTTAGTGCTATATTCAGCTGTAGAGTACTCCTGAAATGAAAACATTATCCATGTGACATCTGCTAATCACATACAGTCCCTGACTTATGATTTTTTAAACTATGATAATATTAAAGATATGCATTCAGCAGGAACCATGAATTTGAATTCTAAGTTTTATACATTTCCTAATTTAGCAAATGCAGTATGATACTCCCTCATGACGCCTGGCAGTGACAACAAGCTGCAGCTCCCAATCAGTCATGCGATCAGATCATGAGGGTAAACACACAATATTCTAGGGCCAGCAATTTTTTCCCTCCGTAACATTCAACAATATATAGTAATGCAGATTTTGTATTTAATGATTTTTCTCAAACATAGGCTAAATTAACTATCCTAAGCACATTTAAGATAATTAGGCTTCCTTATGAAGTTGCATTAAATGCCATTTTAGCTGCAATATTCTCTTCTTACAATTGACTTACAAATACCAAAGTTTCCTTAGATCTTCAAACCCTAAAGACTATGTTTTTTTTTCTTTTCCTATATATACACCTTATCAATAATACAACATACACTTATACTTACAAACAAACCATGTCCATTTTCATTAGGCTTAATGTTGCACATCATGTTTATAACTTTACGGGTCTCCATCTGTGCCACCTCCTGGGCATCTGATGCAACGGGATCAACTGCCTCTGGGGAAATGGCTCGAGGTCGGGACGGAGGTGGCTGCTGGAGCTTGAAGGCCGTTAGAGGGTAAATACCATACCTGGAAATGAATGACATTATCTATAATAAAGTCTTCCATACAAATCGTATCCCTATTCTAATGAACACAAACATGAACATAGTAATATGTGCACAAAGGTGAAAAAACATAGTGTTTCTTCTACATTTTCTTCAATACACCCAAATTACTACTTTGGTACCGCACATCACTTACGCGACAACCAGAGGTAAATGAACCCAACACTCACCTAACATCTTCCATGAACTTCTCGAGCTTCTCTAGGACTGGGATATCCTTCATCCTGAAGAGCGTCGGTTCACGATCCTTGTGTTTAATCTCAGCCAAGATGCTGTCCTGATGGTACTGTTGCTGCAGCATTTCTTCTACACAGTTGTCAATGTTCTTGTTGGCTGTGGAATAAGAGAGAAAATACATAGTTAATATTCCACAGCCAATCTTAACATATCTTGGGAAGTTTATTGAGGTAGGGAAGTACTTGACAGGTTGATGGTGATCGATATTACACTGAACGGGTGGTGACGCTGATGGGCTAAGAATATCGGCATCATAACAAACCGCTCGGTCTGCAGGGTATGCCTGTATGCACGGCAACGTACCAGAGCACTTAGAGTGGGACGTTCAGCTTGAAGTAGTGGACTCCCACACCCAGTGTCTGTTCGTTGCCACAAATCTCCAGAGTTTAAAATTCTCTGGGATTTTTTTATTCAACCCCTCAATGACAGTATCAGAAATCTCTCGGTGTCACTGATTCTGGGGACTTCTAGCAACCATCCTGCTGTTTGCCATTTGGCCCATGAGTAGTGGAACTACCTGCTCAACTCGCTTTAGCACATAATGACGCCCATAGCCATACCCATATGGCCCAGCAGTAAGAGGTTAACTAATCACCACCAATGCTGTCATGTATCTTTACCCCAAAAAAGAAAAAGAAAAAGAAAAAGAAAAAGAAAAAGAAAAAGAAAAGAAAAGAAAAAAGAAAGAGAGAAAGAAAAACAGAAAAAGAAAAAGAAAAGAAAAAGAAAAAGAAAAGACAGAGAGAAAGAAAGAAGAAAATAAGAAAAGAGAGAAAGAAATAGGTAATAGAGAAAAAGAAAAAGAAAAAGAAAAAGCAGAAAAAAAAAAAGGAAGAAGGAAAAGGAAGAGGAAAGAAAGATAGAAAGAAAAGAAAAGAAAAGAAAAGTAAAGAAAAAAAAAACACCAACATTGCCTTGTAACTTTACATCAGTACAGAGGAGGAATATACATAGGCAGTAGTCAGAAGATGAGCACCACAAGATAGAGATAAAGCCATCATGTAACTCAATCAACATGAGAAAACAACAGCAAAAAATAAGAAACTACAAGAAATGAGAAGAAAAATATTGGAGCATTATACTGACAAAGAGACACAAAAGAAATCCAGTAAGTAAACTCACACTTCTTTGGGTTGTGTATGAGAGAGTGAGCAGCAAGCAACTTCAAGGAGTGGACCTCAAACAAGACTTTGTGGAAAAGTAATTCTGTGGTGCGAGGTCGTTTATTATGGTCTGCAATCAGGCACTGCCGAATGAAGTCCCGCTGGGACTCGTGTTCAAGGGAATGTATAGTTTTTTGCACCTGAAAGAAGAAAAAATAAAATGAAGATAACCACTGGATACTCATCATATATCTCCTATAAACATCATGCAGATAAAAATGACTCTAAAAAAGTGTAAGTTATAGGCAATGTTATAAAATTTAATAATGTTTAAACACTTGGGTCCTATAGTACTGTAAAGACTCCAAACTTTACTATATTAAGTGAAATTATATGTTTTCAGGAAGTTATTATCTACTCCTCTGATTCTGCCATATTTTCTGCCAAGCTTAGTACTTTTAGTTTCATATCATAATTCAGACGGGACAAGGAGGGAGCCAAAAAAGAAAAAAAAAAGAGAATACAAAATATTTACAAAATCTATACAGTTAAAAGTCTTCTGATATTTTCTTAAAACCTCTAAAAACTCTTTACATCCATCACATAACAACAACATGATCCTCGCTAAGGTCCGTCATCTCCCTCACCTGCTCCTGCGTAACAATATTGCCCGAGTCTCCATTGCCTGGTATCTCAAGGGCAGCCATCTCTAAAGCTGCCATACCAAAAGAATAGATATCTACTGCTGGGGTGACTGGTGCATGGCCTGAAATGTCATGAGGTTCAATTAATATTCATCCCTTTTTCATAGTGGCTCTACTTTCTTCTCCCAAACGAACACTGGTAATATCAATGAAAAGTATCCATTCCAGAAAGACAGAATATTTAAAAAATATATATATTTCATGTGCAATGGCAAGTCAAGACCCGGCAAAAGGACCTGCTGTAGCCAAATAACCTACTTCCATATTCCGGGGCAATGAAGTGCATGTTTTTCATGTCATCTCTGCAGGTCTTGACATGGGAGTGGATCTGATCAGGTGCCACTGTAAGACAGGACCCATATTAATGAGGCTCCCTTCCGTGACTTGAGGAGCGCCACCCTCAGTGCTCAGCGAGCTGTTGACACATTGGAGATCTTCCTGGCTGGCTTTAGTGAGGAGGACCCCATTGGACTTACCAAACCTGAGGTCCTTCCCCAAGCAGCCGTGATCTGCCAATTTTACCTCCAGCTCACTGTCCCAGCATCAGCCTGCCCGGGTCACAGCCACGTTCAAGATCCCTTCGTTAGTCCCTAGATGACCGTCGCTGTGAGCAGGGAAGCTGATGCATGAACGGCACCACAAATGTGCGGGACCGACACTGGGATCAGCTAAGTGACGGACAGACAAGGGACAAAACTACATTGAAGATGTGTTTTACTATTGACAATGGCACAACACATGCAAGGATATCTATGGTTAAAAAAGATTAAAAAATGAAGTCCCAAGTCACATCACAACATCATAGAAGCCATCTGCTGATCTGGAAAGTTTCAACTTCAGGTGTGCGGCTGCCTCAAGCCACTATTCACTCTGAGAGCTAGTCTTACTACTTAGAACCTTACAGCTACATCAACCAAAAAGTATTTGGTAAATAACTTTACCTGAGCCGATCTTGACGAGGCCGTTGTGCTGGATAAATATGGTGTCGGTTGTGAGGTTGCCGTGGATGATAGGGGGGGAGCACGAATGCAAGTAACTGTAACAAATATAACAGTAAATGGTAAACGCCCCCAAGGAAGGGTCAGCAGTGGTCCCCCTAGGGAGGTCCCTGAGGGCAGCCAGCCATTTCACCCATCCACTTGTCTTAAGTACAGACAGGCTCACGTCGCAGTCACCTCTCTGATTAAGGTTAATAACATGTCACACTACCGGGTCCTTTACAGTCAAGCACCGTCAAGCCACATGGTACTGGGTTGACAACATTCTGTGCAAGACCTCTGAATGAGGAACTGACATGGTGAGCAGGCGAGACTCCCTGGGTCTCTGGCCCACTCACTACATACTTCATTCCTCTGGCAACACCCCCACCGACCACCCTGGCCTCAACAGCTCTGTTACCAGGGAGAAACTTGGGAGGAAAACTCAAACAGGGTTAATGACATGAGGGGATTGTGTGTTCTTAAATGTGCTGTAGGAAATTGTAATAGATACAGGGAAAATCATTAAGAAATATACATTGTTGTTCTCAACTACAACAACGAAGAGAGAACTTATAGATATCACATATTATCATGAATCTAAAAAAAAAAAAGATAAATAAATAAATAAATAAATAAAAGCAAACAACAAATAAAGCAAGCATTATTTGTTCCATCACATGTACTCTAAGTATGTAGGTGTATACAGAATATATATACAGCTGCAGAAATAAAAACTCGAGATCTGTCAAGTAACATCCACTCTGGAATGTGGCAACGAGATCACTCAAATCAATAAGTTCTACTCTTTCAGTTTATGTTGAGGACTAAGCATATACAATGAGCCCTTAAATAAGCACGGTAACAGTCGCCGCACGTCCCTATCGCCTAGCCTGGTCAAGACGTCAGGCAAGGCACAATCAACGCACCTGAGAGCAGAGAGGATTTGGGTACACCATCGCTTCCAAGACTGCAGAGGAAGCTTCTTCACATTGCGCTTGGTCAGCTTCAAGAACTTTTTCAGTGACCCTGAAGACATGTATTCCGTGATGAAGACGACCTGAAATGGAGGCAGAGATAAATGAAATGGAAATAAGACTACATAAATAAAAGGGGAAAGTAGCACAAAAAGGACAAGTATAGCTGTAAATAGCTGTAAAGAAAACTTTACTATATACATGTAACCAAAGGAGATCTAAAGATACACAATAGCTAAAAAAACCATAAAACAAATCAAAATGGAATGCTCCACTCTTTTAATGGTGAAAATATTCCTAGAGTGCATTCACTGGAGGAGAGTCTGGCGATGGACAAATCAAGTGGAATCTCACAAATATCTCTCTCTTTTCCAGTGACAACAGAACACAGAATAACAGCACTATGAGTCTGTATGGAGCATATCTCCCCAACCCTGTCTTCAGCACTTGTAATTCCCAAACACCTTCTACTGTTTTCTTAACAATTATGTATGGAATCATCTGGTAATTCTCTAGACTTATGATCTGAAGATTGGAGTTTAAAGTAGGTGCTTAGGTCTAACTTTATCAGGAGGGAAACTAGACAACAGACCCTAATAAGTTCAAGTAGCTACCTCAGCAATACCCACTAAACAACTTAAAACTTAACAAATACAAAAAATAAGGAACTATATATAGA